TATAGTGTAGGAACAAGACAGCCCTGTTACAGTATGTAGTATACAGTGTTATAGTGTAGGAACAAGACAGCCCTGTTACAGTATGTAGTATACAGTGGTATAGTGTAGGAACAAGACAACCCTGTTACAGTATGTAGTATACAGTGTTATAGTGTAGGAACAAGACAGCTCTATTACAGTATTAAAACGAAATGATATATGACAAGGATCAAGAATTATCAAGGGTTTCGAATTTAGATGACGTGACGTAAACATTCGTCGGTTTAATGTGTCAGGGACAGATGACGCTTGAAATGAACGCATGTCAATCTCACCAGTCCAAAGTCCTCTTACAACCCTTCATCAGGTGTTTCACAGGCAACCCTTCATCAGGTGTTTCAGGCTCAGCTAGTATTTAATATGCATCGTTGCGCCTATGTATATGTTTCAATTATCCTAGCTCTTCTCTGACTATTTATAACATGACTTCAAATGTGTAGACAGGTGCTGTCCTTGTTGAATTTTGTATGAATAGTTTTTGCATCAGGTCGTATCATCAATTCAGACACTGTAATATCTCTCTATATTTCTTAGTACTGTATAAACTTACTAAGTGGTAACGTAATAGGAAAGTGTCATACTTTTTAACATTATAAATACATGTTGATATTAAAATCAATTTCAACAAAAACAATTACATCAGGCTGAATACTTAATTGTTTTCAAAATATATATGCATACTCAAAATACGTTCACTATAGTAATGTTAATAAAGCGACTAGCTGGAAATAAATAATTAAATATTGAAAATAAAATAGCTTTAGTCAAATGATGCCGAGATGTTATAAGAAACTATTTTGAATGCTTTATGAAATATGAAATAAGGAAACTTACTTTTCGTGTTTGTAGTTAGGGTCTCACTGACACACCAGCGTCTCTCGGTAACGTGAATTACAGCCTGATGTTAATACGCTCGCGTGATTGTAACTTTCTCCAGAGGCCAATCCATGCCCTAGCGATGAGTTTATACACGGAGGACGTAACAAGAGAGGAAATGTTTAATAAGACGTTTATGGAAACCTATTCGGGAAATCGGCCAACACTTAATTTCGTTCATTACATTTTTCTCCGACATTGATGGCATTCATGTTTTGTTCCTTTTGTTTCAGGATCTCAATAGTGTGTTCCAGGTATGCTTGATATAAAAATCAATGATCGATGCCCTTGTAATCACTTAATGCTGTCAATTAATTATTTTCGACGTGTATGGTCTTCGTTTCCTATTCCCTTTTGTTTCAGGATATCACCGGTTAGTTCAAAGTATTTACAAATTTACAAATTTTACGGTCAGTTTTCCATTTATGAAACAAGTCAATAGGTTATCGTTATACGTCCCAAACTACTGCGAGTAGAATTCAATTACAAGTACACTAACATAGAAATGGAAACGAAGAAACACAATTCATATCACATAAAGGTAACAAATGCAATGAAAGTCAAAGCAATCTGCCTTGTCAAGGAATCATAAAAATACTTCAGAAATTCGAAATCATTAACGGTGTGACACGAATTGAACGTCACCGCATAATTATGTAACCTACTTATATCAAAACGAATATCAGCTTATCAACGTGATTAGTCATTTTATTCATTGATTGTTTATTTTATCGAAATTGCCGTTTTAATGTTCTATATCGCATCACGAGAACCGTTGACACTCAATATCTCATCATACACAGGTATATGTTCTCCCACAACCGCAATATGTTTTCTCACTCCCGACTCATCGGATAAACATGTCAGGGCATTATTTCATTGGTCAATCTTCCAATTATGTCGTCACGTGACAATGCTTTGTGACGTGATCTTCGATTATGACGTCACAGTTCATTGCACTAGTTTCTGTGATCGGAAACAGGAATAATTTATTCCCAAGAGGAGTTTATGGTTTATAGGATATGGTTTTTAGAACGTTTGTGGAGAAAAAGGTCCCCAAACTCGTTATGGTTGATTGAGAAGTTAGCAAACTCGAGTTAGATAAACATGATACCAATCACCACTCTTTGGGGAACCTTTATTTCCTCACGCTTAATTTGATAGGTTCACACATTTTGTCGAGTTACGATGGCATTGGTTTTAACAGATAATTGATACTCAAATAAATAACTGTGCGACTTTTCTAGCCAATTCGTGTTTTTATTCTACAATTGCTACATTTATGAAAACGCTATGAAACTATTAAGATAAAATACGATTTCGATCACTTAACATTATCAGATGTAATGGTGATACTTAATTTTGTTGCAATTTTAATCTTCCAGAACTCCACATAATCCTTCTCTTTAGCTATTTGACATTTATCTAAAAAGTGTTACGTTAAGTACCTCCACAAACTCTTTAACCTTAATTTCACGATAATTAGATTTTCTTTCCTCAACAGTAGCATATTAGCCTCCTCCATTATGGAGTTTTTTCCTTACACCAGGACTGTCCTAGGTGTGTGTGCTGACAAGTAACATTCTAAACCTACTTGCCAAGGAGCTGTCAATCCACGTCATCATGTCTATCTACCAACAAGTCTAGGTCTCTAGTTAAAGATTTTCTTAATTTGTTTATATGTTTGGTGATCTTTATGCTTTCCTGGGTTTGACGGGAGCTATTATAAGAGGTGCCACATGCACAATATGAAACACAAACCGTCTTCAGCGGCTTGTTCTTCCTCTATTATCGTAATCGAAATTGGAAAGTATCTGATAGCGGCAAATAAGCGCCGATCAGATATGTGACAGTTTGTTTATGTGTGTTGTTCATTCTCCTGTGACCAATGTGGCTTTTGTACATATGTAAATATACTGTTTATTATATGTTTACACTGATAAGTCGCAAGACTTAAAGTTAATAAAGAACTTGTACTTGAACTTGACCCTTGACCGATGCACTTGACCCTTAATACCTATAAATGTTAGCTTCCCGCTGACGTGTCCATATTTCACGCATTTTGTGCCTTTGATTGTTTGGTTGTTCAGTGTATGAAAATTTTGTTGTCACAAAGTGTATGACATTTTTAAGTTCTTATATGCAAATGGCGCTGATTCCATCGAACGAAGGTCACTGTATTTATCTCATACCGGGAAATAAACCCGTGCATTATCTGTTTACAAAATGGTTTGAATATTAACTATTGTTCGATATTGTAAAAAGGTTTAATTTTTCGCAGTTCCTGTTTTATTATAAATGTTCAAAAAAAATACCATTTGTATCTAAATGTCAATACACATGTTGGTGTTTGAATCCAAATGAAACGCGTCAATGTTTATTTATTTAAAATTAATTGTTTTTGTCGTTTTGTGTTTGTTTCTTCAATTTTGTCGTGTTGCATTCATGCATATTAATACCTCATCAAAATAGCAATATCGGCTTCACGACAATAACAGTTTTAACATGTGCAAAAATAAGCATGGTATTGTTATCAACATTGTTATTGACACAAAAACAAAAACGGGATCATAAATCTTGATAGTAAATCGGATGTAAAATCCTATGCACCCAATTGGTAGATTTGGTCTGCATCATAATCACTACCTGAATATGGGAACGGTTTCATGAATAGGAGGAACCCAGGGCTCCTCTTCATGAAATTATTATCACGCTTAAATCCAGATTATGTGCTAAGGTCATTCTTTTTGCTCTGTTGATAAATTTTTAAAACAAATGACATTTCTTCGATATTTTGGATGAAAATTTCAGAGACATAACGCCAAATACTCACAATCACTTCTTTCAGATTGATATCAGGATCGCGTCCCATGAACGTACACCAGTAAACGATAGTCAGTTTGAGCACACAGTCCGGGCCTGAACAGGAGTACGGTTTCATGAACAAGGGTTTAACAATATCTAAGGTTATAGATAGCAATACCTTACTTGGAGAAGTATTAATACTACAGCTGACATTACAATGTTGTACGGTTTTATTCAAATTCAAAATATCGTCATATATTATCACAAGACAACTCACCGTGGCGGTCTGGTGGGGATGGGATTCCGTACTAAGCACAGTGGACTTGTCTTGTAATTGTATGTATATTGACTCTATATCTGTGCGTGCCTAGATGTTCTTTGCTCTAAAATACAAATGGTCTTGTGTTACGTTTTTGTTTGATATTTGAACATCCATGGCCTATTATCTTAATAAAAAATGTTTGTTTTGGTATATAGATCAAACTAAACTAGTTTGAATGAATATGTGTGTATTTTTCAAGTACTTGTTCCTGAGATATTCTTTTTTCTACAAAGAGTGCGTATGAAAATTATATTATAATCTATTTGACAGACAGTATATCTCCCTTCTGTAACGCTATAAAACTGATCCATGACGCGCAAATATGACAAAAACATGGTTTACAAAAACATACAGCAAAGTCTGCCCTCTGGACCACATTGCTTACCTACAGATATATATAGAATTTTCTATGTCAGCTTGGAGAATTATGTTCAGAGAATGAAGCTTGTTTTGTTGCACTAATTAACGTCCCAAAAAACAACTTAAGATTGGAAATGTTGTTAATGGTAATTTTATTCATGCCAAAAAAAATGTGACATTTTAAGTTCCCAATTTTTGAAGACGAGATAAATAATAATCCAATCACAGCGAATTTAAGGAATTATATTCTTCAGGTAGACGTGAATTTCTCAGTATAAGGTATGACGTGATCAATACAAAAATTCAGATCAGGATAAGAAATCCTGAGCTTCCCTAGACGTACGTCTATTAACTTAACTCTCTAGTAACCGGCTATCTTAACCCTCCCGACCGACTGCATGCCATTCTCTTCACTGTATCTCCCAAAGACAACTATAAGACGGATATTTGTTTAACTAAGATTTTTTTCCTTTATTTTTTAAGAATGTCCCTGTAAAATCTGTCTTTTATTTCCCTTTGTCCTCTTTTGATTGATCCAAATGACGATTTCGTTCAATCTTCGGTATGCTCTTGTTTTCTCACCAACTGAGAAACACGTGTATGTTTCTCGGCAATCTAACCGATCCAATTTATTCATGTTTGCATTGAAAGCCCGCATATTTCAAATTCTTTCATTTGGCTGACTCACTTTCTGAAAAGAAATATAACTAGCCAACTGAGATTGAAAACTGCATACTATTAAATGAATTGATGTTTTTAACATGTTCCTGCGAATAGATATATCTTATACAATAACAACGTTTAACAATACAGAGCGCGTAGCTTCACTTCCGTAGTAGGAGACGTCCATTATAATCATATTTATATTTTTAACTGTCATTTTTGTCCTTTTTGTTTGCTGATGCTTGTATGTTTTTCCTGTTTTTTTAAAAATGTTTTAATGTCGACTGGCGGTATAGATTCCATCAACATAAAGTGTAGTCAATAAGGAAATGCTTCAATAAAACATCATCTAATGGAAGATAGAGTAGCTAGATAATCACGTGAAAATAAAACTTCTCGCTATAAATTACGTAAACATGTATTAAATTTGTAATAGTTTTTAGCAATTGGGTAAGTTTAAAAACAAAATTGTCATGTGGCCAAAAATAATGATTATGTTTTAGACACTTTACAGATAATTTTATCATTAAATATATATCCAACAAGACGTTCCTATGACCTTTAGATAGAAATGTTTATTTGTAGTTTGGAGTTAACGCCTTCATCGTCAAAACGGGTTATTTTCTTGAACAACAATAATAATATAATGGATGCAATTATATGCATGGTTGTGTTAAGAATGAATTTGATGAACACCGCCTTATGTGTTATGACAATACGAATCTCCATATCCCATGAAATGATGTCCTGTGAACTTGTTCCTTCAACAAACAGCTAATACTTTAGACAGATCGCAACGCAGCTAGTTTTGCTTTCTTGTAATTGTGAATCATAAACCAACAAAGACATTGTTTCCAATTGTTTGTCATTTTTTTATATTAAAATGACGGAGTTGAAATGATATAACATGCATACAACAAGAAACGTGAATAGTGATTAATA